AGAAGTTCTGTTGTGCAGTTTGGGTTAGAGAAAATTGATGGAAAAATTGTTTTTTACTTGTGGAAAATTCAAGTAAAAAATGTGTTGATACAATCAAGATTGCATAAGGTGCAGGATTATGTCGATGGTTGAAGAGCTTTCTACCAACATGGAAGTTGCACCATACAGTTTCTACCTGGTTCTCGGTATGTGAAAAATTCTTGAAATGGTTTAACTTCAAGTCATGTATACTCTTCTCTAAGGGGAGTACGATAATTTTTAAAACTAGGATTATCGGTGAAGACAATGTGAAAATTCTTGGAGTGGTGTAGCTTCAAGTGACTATACTCTTTATGGTGGAATATGATTGTCGGTGACGACAATGAAAGTTAATGTATTATTTTCAACCAAGGTGAAGATTATTGGGGTTGGTTGAAAATATACATGTTGAAGAAGTCCAACATCGCTTATTTTTGTGAAGGAATAGGGAGTACAAGACAGGGAGTACAAGACTATATATATATAAGATTAAAGTTTTTCTAAACCCCACATCGCTTAATTTAGTGAATGAAGAGGGATTCCAATACTCTATATTGAAATTAAGTTTTTCTTTACAAAATACAATAGTAAAATACACTTTAAATTTATATTTGACTTTTTCTTTTTTCTTATATTCTTGTGGGTATATTGGAAGTTTGTTTTTTACGACATGAGAAGGTTATTAATATTGTTCTGCAAGAATAATATAAAATCTCATTTTTTCTAAACCTAAATTCTGGTTTTGTTTCAGAATTTCTTTAATATATTAGCATTGATGGTGTGTTATATTATTTATGATTATATGAAACTTTTATTATTTGATTATAAGTGAAAAATTATTATGATTGTTTTACAGAATTAGACTTGAATCCAAAATTATATATATATATATATATATATATATATATATATATATATATATATATATATATATATATATATATATATATATATATATATATATATATATATATATATATATATATATATATATATATATATATATATATATATATATATATATATATATATATATTAAGTTTTTCTAAAATTAAATAATAATTTTCTTTTGGAAATTTGTTGGTATATTCTAATCGATGATGTGTTATATTGGTTGATCTTTACAACAATATTTGGCACAAATTTTAATAGACTCATAAATGATGTTTTAAGTAAAATACATTGGTAAGAAATAAAAAATAAAATAATATTTTTTTATTTTTGCAGATCTGAACAATTAACGTAACTGTAATAGGGATTTGAACCGTCGGAAAAAGAAATAGATATAAGTTTATCTAAATTATATGAGTGATCTTACCCCCGATTTTATTGGTTGCTGCTTATGATAAATATGTCAGTAAATAAAAAAATTGTGAATTATTCATGATTTAATCTATGAACAAAATCTTTAAAATGAACTGTGTGTTAGGTTATATATCAATATATGTTTTTCAAAATACATAAATAAATAAAAATTATTTTAAGTTTTTTATGTAAAATATTTTTTTATAATATTATCTTTTATAATATAAAAATTGTCATGAAATTTGATTTAGAATTCAAAATTTCAAAAATAACTCAATATTTTCAAGGACGTGATTTTATAAAAATAACTAAAATATAAACTAAAAAAAAATCAATTAAATAATAATAGATAAGTAAATAATAAAAATTTTGTAATAAATTGTCAAATAAAAACATTTTCAAATTTATAAAAAATAGGACATTATGAATTTCCAAAAATTAAAAAATGAAATAAGCTAACACATTTTTAAAATAGAACACTACAAATTTCATAAATTTAAAAAATAAAATAAATTAAACCCATATTATATTAACTAAATTAATTACTTAAATTCCCAATAAAATGGTTTTCCAAATTAAAAAAATGCTCAAAAATAGGACACTAAAAACTTCACACATATTTAATTAATTAATTAAATTACTAAATAAAAAACAGTTTCCCATACCTCATTTCCATTACCTCATTAACTCCTTATATTATTTTGATTAATAAATTAAAGTAAAATAAAAAATTGCACATCTAATGACACTCTTTAGGACTCTTTAAATAAAAAATAAAATATATTATTTAATAAATAAATAAGTAAATAATCCAGTTACCATTTACACACTTTGAATCTAAAACTTTCTCCGTTTTCGTTTCAAACTCAAAGACAAAGACAAAGATTTATATACTATATTATCATTCAATAAATATTTATGAGTCATAATTTTTTAACCAATTTAGTTTTAACAACTTCCTCTTTTTTTTATAATGACACACACATTTGATGAGTATGACACACGTATTTGATGAGAAAAAGAATCATATATATATATATATATATATATATATATATATATATATATATATATATATATATATATATATATATATATATATATATATATATATATATATATATATATATATATATATATATATATATATATATATATATATATATATATATATATATATATATATATATATATATATATATATATATATATATATATATATATATATATATATATATATATATATATATATATATATATATATATATATATATATATATATATATATATATATATATATATATATATATATATGATTCTTTTACCATCCAATATTATTGAGTCATTCTTTTTTAATCGATTTAGTTTTAACAACTTCCTTATGATGACACATACATATTTATTTGACGAGAAAAAAAATAATATATAAAATATTATACTGATGAATTTCAAATGCTACTCTTAAACTAAATATATCAACTATTTTTAAAGAAAACTTTTAACACCTAAAGACAAAACAAAACATACAACTATTTAACAAAATTAAAGCCCTCAAAAATATGCTAAATAAAATTGTTCCATTCTAAAATCAGAAATAGAGCGAGGATCGAAAATGATGGTGAATTTGAGCTTCTAGTGCGGTGAAGAGAAGGTTGACCTTCAAGGTTAGCATTCTATCACTCGAGTCAGTATGTGGGAAAGAAAAGTAAATTAAAATTGTGTTTGAAACTTGTTATTTTAATTGACGTCTTTTCTATATATAGTAGAGAGAAAATAACAAACTCACTATTTGTTAGGAGTAAATCGCGGAAAGCCGTTAGATGCACTTACAATTGAGATCTTTGCTAGCATTATGGGGAGAATGCTCGTGTTCTAAGAAGATTATGAAAATATTACTACTCTCTCAGTTTGGTCGACCAAGGACGATATCGTCGGCCCAAAACAGTTACCTCCCAGCCCATGCCTATGCTCAACAAGGTATGGGTTTGTTACTTCAGCTTCGACTACTGACCACCCCCGCCTTTATGTTTGGAAGAGAAAAATACAACTTTTCAGTGACTTAGAAATTCATGCATTTGCTAGTCTGTACTTCAAACGTCTTTTGAAAAGTGACATCATTAAGACTCTTGGGAGCCGAAACACTTGAGTGATGGGTGGGGGTGATTTGACGATTTTGATATAGTTTATTTCCTTTTGCATGCTAGAGTATAATCCTCAGAGAGTCAACTTTGCTTTCTTCGAGTCATTTTCCCAGTTTACCAATTATCTTCTTCTTCGGGGTTTCACTTTCCCGCATTTGAAAAGTTAGTGCATTATGGGTGAAAAACCATAAAAGAGTGCTCACAAACCCCATAAGAGTGCTCTATCTTCTTGGTTGGACTATGTCTACTCTTCTTTTGTTTCTACTTTTGCTAAAGTAGGCAATCTTGATGTCATTTTTCTCGAAGTTGGTCCGTCTTCACACTTGGATGTCTTGACACTCACCACAAATGAAAGAATATGTTATAGGTATGGTGATTGTATCATTCCCTTTTATAAATTTACCTTCTCAATTTTGGGTCCCCGCTTACCTTTTACTACCTTTGAGATAGAAATCATGAAGCATCTAAAGATGGCTCATTCATAACTTCATCCAGTAAGTTGGGAATATGTGAAGGTCTACTAATATTGGTGTGAATACTTGAAGGGAATTCCTTCTTTGACCCTTTTCTTCTATGTCTTTCGATATTGTGGTAGTCCCGCGACTCAGAAGGTAACAAAGAATTAATTTATTTAGAATCGACTGGGCGTGGCTTTTGACCCCTTCCTGAGTTGTAACCTTTCGAAGATTAGTCCTTTCTGGTAATCCATATTCTCGTTGAAGCGTATACATTTTGCGATGTTAGGGATAGAGTAAGGGGAAGGTGCACTGAGTTATTTCACAAGTATTGGACTTAAAGTCACATCCTTATAGGGAACATTGTGTATGATATAAAGAGGTCTTTCTTCCTTGTCTGTCTCCTGGACAAGGACTAGGCTCATCGCCTGATCTGTGACCAAGAGATTAAGGAGTAGTGGCGACTCCTCCCTCGGGTGAGTGAGAATATAAGGCAGTGTGAGGAAGGCATTTACCATAGAGAAATCATCCTTGCATTCGGCAATCCATTCAAATCTTTCTTTCTTCTATAAGGCGATAAAGAAAAGGAAAGTCTTGTTGCCTACACACGAGAGGAGGTGAGTTAAGGAGACAAGGTGACTTGCAAGCTCCTGAAGTTCCTAGAAATTGGTTGGGATTCTCAAGGTGATGAATTCCTGGAATTTATTTGGATCCACCTTAATTCTTCTTCTCATTAGCATGAACCCTAGGAAATTTCCAAACATTAACCCCAAATGAGAACTTGGCGGGATTCAGGTTCATATCGTATTTCCTTATTGAATGCATGACATCGTCAAAATATTCTACATGGTTGTGCCCTTCAATAGTTTTAACTCTCATGTCATCAACGTAGACCTCTAGGTTCTGCCCTATCTAATGGACGAACATAGCGTCCATGAGTTGTTGGCAGGTGGCACCCCCGTTCTTAAGGCCGAAGGGTATGACATTTTCATAGCAGTTTCCATGATTCGATATAAAAGGTTATTTTGGGAGTGTACAATTGGTCCATCCGAATTTGGTTATACACTGAGTATGCACCCATTCAGCTCAAGTTATGGTAGCCTAAGGGATCCATCGATAAGGAGATTGATGTCTGGTAATGGGTACGGGTCCTTAGGACATACGACACTTCAGTGAAGTCTACATAAATGTGCCATCTGCTATTAGCAACCATGTTAGCTAACCAATTAGGGTATTTTGTTTTTGTGATGAATCTGACGTTGAATAATTTACTCACCTCAACATCAATGACCGCCATCTTTTCATTGCCAATGTTCTGTTTCCTCTGTGCCACTAGTTTGGCAGAAGGGTGGATGGTGAGGTGATTGCTCACCACTTTGGTGTTTATCCCAAGCATATCAGAGAGAGCCCAAGTGAACAATTTGACATTCTTAATGAGTTTTCAACTAGATTACATTCTTCCTCCTCAAAAAATGAAGTGCCCATCTTTGTGACATGATGGGAAAATTTCCACTTTTGACTTCCTTCAAATCCTCTGCGGGCGTGAGCCTTTCAGCTTCCTCTCCCAATATGGTACCCTAATACTCGACGTCAGTATTTGGAACTTCATAAAGGAGGTCACCAACAAGGGAGAGCTTTTCCATATCTATCGCCAGGCTAATTTGGTTACAATCTTGAGAGATTTATTGGCCACCTCGGATTGTGCCGACTCACCCTCCAAGCAGCAAATACTTCACGACTAAGTACATGGTGGAAATGACTGCCCCTAGTGCGTTGATGGAGGGTCTCCTCAGGATGATGTTATCTTGGTTGATTTGGTCTTTTGACCTATCAACACCTAAGTTCCATTAATGTTGATGAAATTTATGACTCAAGATATGTCCATGTACCACCAAGTCATAACCAAGTCAAATAATAAAAATCAATTAACATAATATACAAAAAACGATTAAAAATTTGTTATTTAATTGGAATTTATTTATGAAATACACAAAAGATATCAAAACATCCAATAAAAATTCAAGAAAATTACCAATGGTCAAATAGAGGTCAACAAGTGTTGACAATTTTTTTTAGAATATTTAAATGTCAAACTATTTTTAAAATACCAAGAATTAAGTAGAATAAATAAAAAATCACAAAAAATACCAAATTTAGAAACAAAAATCAAATTAGGTCACCAATATTTGTCAAGAGGTCATTAGATTCTTCCATAATTTTCTCAAAATTTTTAAAGGTCTAAAAATATATTTAAACAATTAAAAAAAATCAAATAAAGAGAAAAACCATAAAACTATCAAATCATAAAATAAAATTATGACAAAAATAAAAATCAGAAAGAGAATATTCAAAAATATTTTTAGTGATTTTTTCATAATTTTTAAATGTGAAATGATTTTTTTTATGATTTTTTATGATTTTTTTAAACTTTAAATCAATTATAAATAATAAATCAAAAAATAAAATAAAACCTAAATAATTTAGACCATTTGATCACTGTCAAAACGTGTTAGTAATCAAATCCAAAGAATCTGGCGTTTTGTGCATGTTATGGTCTTTAATGAATAAAACAGTGAATCACTTTTAAAAATCAGAAAAAAGTATAAAATATGGAAAAACAAGGGGCGTTGGATCTGAAGCGTTTTAAACACATTGGCAATATGGATAGACCATATGTGTGGATGCATGGTGAACCAGAGTCAATGCGTGTGTATGGAAGCAACAAAGTCCATCCAATTGGATTAAAACAATTGGCTCAAGGTCAATTATTGAAGAGCGACACGTAGGTCATCTTCAACCTTCAACCATCTGCAAATAGAGCCAGTACGAGATTCTACAAACAAAAACATTTGAAGCTTATAGTGGTATTAGATTCGTCTTATCCAGAAGATCCTAACTATACCCTCATAAAAAATTTATTTAAAGCATAGCTCACTCGATTTTTTAAAAACCATAAGGTTTTGAAAGTTTTGAAATAAAAAACAGAAGCATCAAATGCATTAATTTACCAAAATTAAGTTAATATAAAGAATCAATGAACATCATAGACCATCCCATAAATTTTAGTTATAAGGTTTGGTGCCTTAACTTAGCTAAATTAAGTTGCAGAATTTTACTCTGAAAGTGAACTTGGTCTGAGCAGAATAAGGAACAATTTGACTTGATTTTTGTCTGAGAAGCTTCACGCAAGTTACCTAAAGAAGAATAAAACTAGAAATTTAATTGAAAAGCAAGGGAATAGTGAATTCAAAGTTTCAGAAAAGTGAGTTATGGAGGAAGTTGGGCAGAGGTTTTCTGGCTCTCTAATCTTGCCAAAATGATGTAGAGGGAGTCTTTATTTATAGGAAAAGTGAATAGTGATGAGAACTGAGAGAAATGCTGATCAATTTGTGCAAAGCAAGCTAGTTGTGATCATTCCAAACACGTGACTTGAAACGTATCAAAACAACCTCACACCAAGTGCAATTCTTATCAAAACACATCTGGACAATTAGTTAAACATGTTTAGCAACTAAACTTTGAGTAATTTGCCCTGTAATCCAAGTTTAATCATGGTAAACACTTTGACTCGAAGCAAAAAATAGATTCCATGGAGCACACTTCAATAATTCATAGCTCACTACTCAGGGACCTTTATGATGCAATCTTGGATCTTTATAAATCTTAATGATCAAGCTTGAAAATGTGATTTAAAAGTTTCCATTTGCCTACTTGAGAAAAGAGTTGTGTCCATTCGAAATCATGAAAAACAAACTGATTTTGACACTTAGAAAATTTCTAAGTGTAGAGTTTCAAGATGACCTATAATATTTTTCAAAACTACATAGCCTTCCATTCCAAATTAGCTCTTGATATTTGAACATGAAATGAAGTATACCATTTAAATGAAATTATAAAATTGAGATCACTCAAAAATCATAAAAAATGAGAAAGTTATAGTCCTTGGAAGTTAGTGGAAATTTATTAAGAAATCCACAAATGACCTATAATATTTTCACAAATTACATAACTTTCCACACGCTTTTAGATATTGATCTTTAAATAAAAGTTGTAGTAGACATCCTCAAGTTTATTGTGAAAAAAGAATGAGCTCAAGGAGACAGAACATGACCAAGTTATGATCTTTTGAAGTCAAGTTCAATATTTCAATGGTTTCCTCAAAGGACTTGTAATCTTCTTCAAACTTAAATGACTTTCCACTAAAAATTTTCCTTAGATCCTTAAAGATAAGTTTTTAAGGACTCTTTGAAGAGAATCATGTCTTTGTAATCACATTAAAATATCAAAAAATTAGCAAGTTATAGTGTTGAAAAGTCAACAGACCCTTACTCAAACCTTACAAAAGTGACTTGTAACATTCTTCAACCTTTGATGATTTTCCTTTCACAATTGGATTTTGTCATACAAAGATAAGTCATTGGTAATGATGGGAAGAGTCCATGGCAAAAAGAAGAACTTCAAAATATTTAAAATCAATAAAGTTATGCACTTGTGACCATAGAATCAAGCACTTGCCAAATTAGGTCAAACTTCTTGAATCAACTTTGTGTCTATTGAAATTTTCTTATAAACTAAAGCATGATGGATCACATTAGTCCTTAGAATGATGTTGTCTTGAAATACATGTAATAATGGGACCCAAATCTCAATGGAACTTGTTGAAGAAGGCATAGAAATAAACTCATGAACCTATGAATCCTCTTGATGAATCCAATTACAAACATTGACACAAGTATGACCAAATGAAGTTGAGAGAGTCTTCCTGTAACACGTTGAGAGAACTGACTTGGTTGTTTTGCATTTTATCGCAAATGTTACGGTTAGCAAGAGTCGCCACCAACTTTTCTTTTATCTAAAAGGAAAGGCTGAAAAGAACAGGAAAAACCTTTGAGATGTTTTCTTGAGTTCGGGGGGGGGGGTAGATTATGAAAAGGGGAGGTATTAGAAACCTTTCCATCCATGGTTTTCCATGGGCTCTTAGTTACTTGCTAGATCACTTGCTTTTGTTTTAAAATGTGCTTTGTGTGGTTTTTGAAAGTATTTTGAAAATGCGCCATCGTTTAGGCAAACTCTGTAATGATTCTTGTTCGTAAGAATGTACACAAAGTGTTGATCTTTTGAAGATGTTTTCAAGTTTGAAAGATGTTTTTGAAAGTGTTGGTGTTTGTTTGGAAAATAGCAAGGATGTTTTTGGTTTTGAAAATGAGCAAGCAACTAGGAACAATCTACCTACTCAAAAGTCTTTCATGTTTATTTCCTCTTTCCTTTGACATTGTTATCTTACCATTGATTTGGTAAGAAACCCTATCTTTGGATGTAAAAGGGACGGGCAAGGGTCATCGTATAGCCCTGATTAGCAATGTTGTAAGATATCTTAGCATTTTCTTTAAGGGACTAAGATCATTTTTGAAAGACAACTTTGATAACGTCATCGAGGGACTATGATCTTGTATTTTTTAATTGTTTTTGCTAAGATACCTCACATGCATAATATGACCATTTTTGTAAGGCAACAAAGTGGGTTTACCCTAAGGGTGTAAGTGTGCAAGTGTGTTGGTTTACATACTTGATTTGTCTTGATTAGGGTTTGCTACTTGTTGGTTTTAATATTTCCATACAAAATCCCAATTACTAGCATTTGTATATAAGACATTAAATTGCGGAAATTAAAATTACTACGTTATTACATCATTAAGGGAGGGGGTGTACAAATTTACAAATGGGGAATTACAAGAAATTAAATCTAAATAATTATTACAACCATATTTAATATTGTACCAAAATGAAGATAAAAATGCAAGAATGTAAATGTAAAAAGAAATGTAATTTTTGTTTGGTTTTCTTGAAAAGGGTTTTTTTTACTTAATTAAAGAAGATGATTAACTAAAAATTAAATAAAATTAATTTTTAAACTAAATAAGAAATAAGTTAAGTTAAAAAGTATTTTTAGGGTTTTTCTATGAAAGGTTTTATCTTAATGAAAATACAAATAAAAATTAATTAATTAAAACAAACCTAAGTTCTAAATTAATTTTATTCACAAGAAAATAATATAATAGTTAAACCCTAGTCTAAATATTTATTGAATAAATAATAAAAAAAAGAAATTAATTTATTAAATGAAAATGTTTTTGTTCTTTTGTTTTTATAAAGAAAATAAATTATAAATGAGCATTTTCTAAATATGCAAATAAATAAATAAAATATTTTTGGAATTTTTATCATTAATAATAATAATAATAAAGAAAATATAAAATGAAACTAAAATAAAAAAATAAAGAAAATAAAATAACAAAGAAAAATAATGGGCCAGGGGTGTAAACAATAAGACACGAGGGTCGGAAATAGCAAAAAAGGCAAGGCCCAATCATTTGGAGGCCCAGGCGCCTGTTTTTT